TGTGGCCACCCATCACTGAGAACCACCCACACTTGCAGGAAATCTGGTCAGTCTCTTCATCAGCCTCAGCTCAGTGCTGAGCTGGGAGCCGAGGGCACAAAGGCCCCCGAAGGTGCTGGGTTGCTGCTTGCTGGGCCAACCCAGAGCTTCCCTTGGCCAATGGTGAGGCCTGAATCTGCCTTCTAACATGTTCCTGAGTGACGCTGACGCTGCTGGTCCCGGAACCCCACTTTGAGAACCACTGCCTTTCTGAGAGGAACAGTTTAAAGAGAGAGCTTCAAGCCCCAGAGAAGGCTCCAGTCCCCCAAGGAGCCTTTCAAACTCCTCCTGCCCAGCCCCACTTCCTACTAACTGACTCAGCATCGCTGGAAGTCAGACTGGCATCAGCATTTTCTAACCCCCCCCGCCACCCCCCCACCCCCCCGAGTGAGTCTAATGCCCGGCGTGGCTGGCACCAGGGCCCCAACTAGCCAGACGGGCCTCAGCTTTCCCCATTCTGCCTCGGCGGGGCCCCGAGGGCCGAGAGCCCTCCTCTCCCAGCTGCAGCCGCGGGCCGGCCCCGTGCTGGGCCATCTGCAAACTTGGTTATCCGTTTTCCACAGCCCTGCAAGGACCCTATCATCACCCCATTTTATAGATGGAGAAACTGAAGCTATGGTTACCAGAGGAGAGAGCCACAGAGCTGGAGTTAAGCCTCATGCTGTCAGCTCCGCCCTCACACACTCTGCCTCTGTGTGTCCCGGGAGTGGCGCCTGTGGGGCAGGACCAGGGCGACTGTTTGCTGCATTGCAGGCCCCGGAGCCGAAGCCGTGCTCCTCTCTCTGAGCGCTCCTCTCTCCCCCACACTTCCAGGTGCTGTGCCTGTAGCCCTGCGTCCAGCACCAACCCCAGCGCCAACCCCAGCGCCAATCCCAGCACCAACCCCAGCACCAACCCCAGCACCAACCCCAGCACCAACCCCAGCACAGGCTCCTCCGAGAGCCCTCCCTGCCCCTTCCTAAGCCAGACCCTCCAGGGACCCGGAAGCCTGCCATGCACTCTGCCTGCTCTGGACGGGAAATCCAACCCTGACATAAAAGTCAGCCTCAAGCCTCACCCAACCCGACTCCAACCATAACCAAGCTGCTGAAGTGCTTACAAGCCTCCCGCGGACTCACGGCCTCCCTAAGGCCCGGCTCCCAGAGCCGCCCCGATGCCCTCCCTGACCCCTGACCACACACACTCGCTGCAGGTCTGGCACAGCCTGGGGTTAGATGGCAGGCGGAGGCCAGAGCAGGCAGAGCCTTGAACGTCCACCCCGCACATTTAAACTGGAACCGTGGGCGGTGTGGAGGCAGTGGATGCTTCGGAGCAAAGGTGTCCACTGAGGCAGGAGCATTCTAGAAAGATTACTTGTGGCAAATCTGGGTCCGGTGGACCGAGGAAGCGGAAAGAGACAACAAGCCTGAGCCTTTTGCTCAGTCCCCATCTCTAAGCCCCTGAGTATAAGACACACGGGGGTTAGGGCAAAGCTGTGACAGCGGACAGATCCGGATTCAAGCAGCACTAGGACCTGGTGACACTGAGGAAGTCAGCTCACCTCCCCGAGTCTCCGTTTCTCCACCTGCAAACTGGAGGCAACCTCGACCCCGTCTCACTGGACGCTTGTGAGAAACGATGGAAATAGGCGCACTCATTAATTCCCTCAGAAAATGGCCCCAACCTCCTGCCGAGCTGTGCCGGGAATGCCGGGAGGCAGAGAGGGTGGCAGCTCTGGAAGGAGCACCGAGGAGCAGGGGTGATGCCCAAGGCCCGCCGGGTCCCTCCGGCCATCTCCTCCGGCCGGCACAGCGCTCCCGCCACCTGGGTGCCACCATCAAACCCGTTCATAGATGTCACTCCGGGACGGCCAGCCACAAGTGGCAGTCCGGGGTGGCCGTGCCCGAGATGACAGACCTTTGCGTACATCTGGCTATTTCCAACCTCCGAGCCCTCACCTCCCTGTTCTTTTCCCAGGTAGCACCCCGTCTCTCCCCCCCCCGCCCCCCCCCCCCCCCCCCCCGCCTTTTCTGGCCTATGGAATTGCCACTCCTCTTTCGATGATGAGAGGGTCCCAGATCAGCTGCCTCCTACACACCCCACACTGGGGACGGAGCCTAAGCCCTGACCGGAAATAGAACCCTGGTTCATAGACTGATGCTCAACCACTGAGCCATGCCAGCGGGGCCCAGTTTTCATCGGATTGTCTGTCTTCCTTCTGTTAAGTTGTGCGAGTTCCTTATATATTTTGGATATTAACCCTTTATCAGATATATCATTGCAAAATATGTTCTCCCATACAGTGGGCTCCTTTTTGTTTTGTTATTTATTATTTATTTAATTATTTATTTATTTATAAATATATTTTATTGATTTTTGACAGAGAGAAAGGGAGAGGGATAGAGAGCTAGAAACATCGATGAGAGAGAAACATCGACCAGCTGCCTCTTGCACACCTCCTACTGGGGATGTGCCCGCAACCAATGTACATGCCCTTTACCAGAATCGAACCTGGGACCTTTCAGTCCGCAGGCCGACACTCTATCTACTGAGCCAAACCAGTTTCGGCTCCCTTTTTGTTTTGTTGATGGTTTCTTTTGCTGTGAAGAAGCTTTTTATTTTTATGTAGTCCCATTTGTTTATTTTCTCCTTAGTTTCCTTCACCCTAGGGCAATGGTCAGCAAACTCATTAGTCAACAGAGCCAAATATCAACAGTACAATGATTGAAATTTCTCTTGAGAGCCACATTTTATGGTTTCAAGTCTTTCAAATTTTTTGTCCATTTTGAATTTATTCTTGTGTACAATGTAAGTTGGTGGTCCAGTTTCTTTTTTATTTTTTGCAGGTACCTGTCTGACAACATTTATTTAGGAGACTGTCATGACTCCATTGTATGCTCTTGCCTCCTTTGTCAAATATTAACTGAGCATAATGGCTTGGGTTAATTCCTAGGGTTTCTGTGCTGTTCCGTTTATCTATATGCCTGATCTTGTACCAATGCCAGACTGTTTTGAGTGCAATGGCTTTGTAGTAGTTGATATCTGTATTGTGATTCCTCCAACTTTGTTCTTCTTTCTCAAGATTACTGTGGCTATTCAGGATCTTTTCTGGTTCCATATAAATCTTTTGGAGTGTTTGTTCTAGGTCTGTGAAATATGCCATTGGAAGTTTAATAGGGATTGCATTGAATCTATAGTATGGACATTTTAATGATATTGATTCTACCAATCCATGAACATGGTATATTCTTCCACTTATTTATATTGTATCTTCCTCTATCTCTTTTTTCAACAACCTGCAGTTTTCTTAGCACACGTCTTTTACCTCCTTGGTTAAGTTTATTCCTAAGTATCTTAACTTTTTTTGTTGCAATGGTAAATGGAATTGAGTTTTTCTTTCTAAGAGTTCATTATTGGTGTATAAAAATGCCATAGATTTCTGGGTGTTAATTTGGTATCCAGCTACATTGCTGAATTCATGTAGTAAACCTAGTAGTTTTTTTTTATGGAGTCTTAAGGGATTTTTATGTACAATATCATGTAATCTGCAAATGGTGAGAGTTTTACTTCCTCCCTTACAATTTGGATGCCTTTTATTTCTTCTTATCTGATTGCTATGGCTGGGATGTCAGGTACTATGTTGAACAAGAGTGGTGAAAGATGGCATCCCTGTCTTATTCCTGTTCTTAGGGAAATGGTTTTAGTTTTTGCTCATTGATATGATGTTGGCTGTAGGCTTGTCATATATGGCTTTTTATTATGTTGAGATATGCTTCCTCTATCCCCACTTTGCTGAGAGGTTTTATCAAAAAAGGGTGTTGGTGTGGCCTCGGTGGCTCAGTGGTTGGGCAATGCTATGATCCAGGGGGTCACATTTCGTTCTGGTTGCAGACTCGAACAAAGGCCGACGGGCAATGATTCCCTCTCATCATTGACATTTCTCTCTCTATCTCCCTCTCCCTTCCTCTCCAAAATCAATAAGGTTATATATTCTTTAAGGTGTTGGATTTCGCTGAATGCTTTTCCTGCATCAATTAATATGATCATGCGATTTTTGTCTTGCAATCTGTTTATGCGATGTAAATTGATTTGTGAATATTGTACCAGCCTTGCATCCCTGGAATAAATCCCACTTGATCACGGTGTATGACCTTATTAATATATTGCAGGATCCAATTTGCTAAAGTTCTGTTGAGGATTTTAGCATCTATGTTTATCAGGGATATTGGCCTGTAGTTCTGTTTCTTTGTAGTGTCTTTATCTGGTTTTGGGATTAGGGTGATGCTGGGCTCATAGAAAGAGCTTGGAAGTGTTCCTTCCTCTTGGATTTTTTGGAATAGTCTGAGGAGTTAGTTCTTCTTTGAATATTTGGTAAAACTCCCCTGTGAAGCCATCCGGACCAGGACTTTTGTTTGCTGGAAGCCTTTTCATTATTGCTTCCATTTCAGTAATTCTCAGTAGCTATTGGCCTGTTCAGGTTTTCTGATTCTTCCTAATTGAGTGTTGGAATTTCTAGGAATGTGTCCATTTCGCTCAGGCGGTCCAGTTTGTTGGAATAAAGTCCTTCATAGTCTTTTAGTCCCAATCCTTTGTATTTCTGTGAGGTCAGGCATGTTTCTCTATGAAGTATGTACATACACCTACTTCTGTCACTCCCTATGCATTACATACCAATAAATCCTAGCTCTTAGTTGTTTATGAAAAATGAAGATACAGGGTTTGAGCTAATAGTTTCTTCCCACACCCCTTTGACCACGGACACATTACAGATCTGTAACTCCGCAGTGACGGCATCCTCCGGCTGCTGGGGTTCTGAGAAGGACTAGGGGTTCAGCCTTCCGTTAGCCTGGGCCCGCTGGGGCAGGGTCGCTGCGGGAGCAGCCCATGTGCTGGGGGAGGGGCTTCCTCGGCGCCTGCGGGCGGGAGCGGATTAGCGGCAGCGGCTCAGAGCCTCGGAGCAGCCGGCGGGTGCGGGCGGCGGAGGGTGCGGGGTGCAGAGGGTGCTGGCGGCGGGGGCGATGCCGCTGCGGGACGAAGCCCTCCGGGAGGTGTGGGCCTCGGACAGGTGCGGGTCCCCTGCTGTCCGGACCCGGGCTCAGAGGGAGGGGCGGGGAGGGAGGGGAAGGGAGGAGCCGCCTGACTCCCCCCCCCCCACCCCCAGCGGACAGGAGAGCGGGAGCCCCGAGGTGCGGCGGCGCCCCCCGCAGGTACGTCCCCGCTGGGCGGGAGGCAGCGGGGGAGGGAGTCTGAGAGGAAGACGGGGTGGGGGTATTCCCTGGAGGGCACTGGAGGACAGGGGCCGGGGCAGGGGTGTCCGGGAGTCCGGTGGGGCATTGGGGTGTCCGGGGATCGGGTGGGCCATTGGGGTGTCGGGGGGGTCGGGCCGGGGCATTGGGGTGTCCGGGGGGGTCGGGCCGGGGCATTAGGGTGTCGGGGGGTCGGGCTGGGGCATTGGGGGGCCGTCCTTGCCCACCCCAGGAGGTGCCGTTCCCTCTGGATGGATAATCCGGGCTATTTCTGGCGGCCCCGGAGATTAGAGGGTGACAGCCCCCCTTCTTCCTCCTGACCCCCCTCCAGCGACCCGCCCGGGGCCCGAAGCTGAAGGAGAGGCCGGCGGCCCCCGAGCCCCCCGCGCCCCGGAGGCCGGGCGGCGGGCGGGGGGCCGAGCCCGGGGGCCGGCAGGGTGAGCGGGGAGGGGGCGGGGGGTGGAGGGAGGAGGAGGGGGAGGGGGGAGGAGGAGAAACACACACACACACACCCCGCACATCCCGAGCCAGTGCCCCTCGGAGGAGGGGTGAGGTGCCCTCAGAGGAGGGGGGGCGCCTTCGGGGAAGCTGTCCGGCCGCCTGACAGCGTCTTGCTCAGCCGCGCGGAGGCGGAGGCCGCCCCCCCAGCCCGACTTCGCCAAGTTCCTGCGGGACCCCGAGGCCCGGCGCGACCCCCGAGACGCCTTCCTGGTGGCCCGAGCGCGCGGGGCGGGTGAGAGGCGGGGGCGGGGGGAGCGGGGAGCACGGGGGGGGGGTGAGGGAGGAGAGGGGAGAAGGAGGGGAAGAGAGGGAGGGGCGGGGGCGGGGGGAGCCGGGAGCACGGGGGGGGGGGGGTGAGGGAGGAGAGGGGAGAAGGAGGGGAAGAGAGGGAGGGGCGGGGGCGGGGGGAGCCGGGAGCACGGGGGGGGGGGGGGTGAGGGAGGAGAGGGGAGAAGGAGGGGAAGAGAGGGAGGGGCGGGGGGCGGGAGGGAGCCGCGGGCAGAGCCGCAGGAAACTGGGAAAACAGCCTCCACTCCTCTGCGTGGGCCTTGGAGCGGAGAAGACTTTACTTTCTTGTTCTCCCCCTTTCGGGCGGGGAAACTGAGGCACAGAGAGGAGCGGGTGCCTTAGACTCCAGCGGGGCCGGTGCTGCGGGGGGGGGGGAGGGGGGGGAGGCCCCAGCACAGAACCGCCGCCTGCACCCCGCCCGCAGCCCCCTCTCCGGGGCCTCATCGCCCGTTCTCTGAGGAGGTGCTGGAGGCCCTCCCCGGCCTGTCCCAGGGGGAGGCCCCTCCAAATCCGGAGGGCCGCCCCATTATGCGGAGTTTCTACCCACAGAGGAGGAGGAGGGCCATGACGATGATGATGAGGAGGAGGAGGAGGAGGGGAAAGAGCGAGGCCCCCTGCCCCCCAGGAAGCCCCCGAAGGAGAAGGCTCCGGGGGCCAGGAGGGTGCCCAGCACAGGTGCAGCCCCCTGCCCGCCCTGCCCCCCCCCACAGGCCTGAGGCCTGCAGCCACCCAGGGCCCTGAGCCCCTGCCCTGCTCTCTCCCCAAGAAGGCCCTCAGGGTCAGAGCCCCCCACAAGGGGCTTTTCCTTGTGACTTCCATTTAATTCTTTGTAAAACCCAATTAAATTATTGTTATAATTGTTATAAAAGCATCAAAGTGGTTACAATGCAAATCAATCAACAGAAATGCGTGGTGGCTCCGGGCCCGAATCTACACGCCCCTGAGCTAGGGTTAGAGGGCAGCACGGTCCTGCGGACCGCCTCACCCGCCCTTCATTTCCAGGGGCCCCGGGCAGCCCCGTGCCCCCACCGAAGGCCCTGCGGGCGAAGAAGAAGGTGCCGGCGGGCGGAGGGGCCCGGCCGAGGAGGACCAGGAGGAAAGGTGGGCCGGGTCCGGAGGGGGGCTGGGGCCTGGCGGGGTGTGACCCTCCCGTGCACACACAGGGGCTGGGGCAGGCGGCACGGACCCCCCGGAGCCCGGGGCGAGCTCGGCGGGGGCGCGGAAGGCCCCGGAGGCCCTGTTCCTGGTGGCGGACGAAGGCCCGGCGGGGACCGCTCTGAGGAAGAGAGGTGGGTGGCGGCGGCTCTGGGGCCAAGACGCCGACAGGCAGGCCTGGGGGGGCGGGGCCGGCACAGCGGGTTCTGGAGTCAGAAACTTGGGGCAGGGCATCTTGACCTCAATTTAAAAAAAAAATGTATTTTATTAATTTTTTACAGAGAGGGAGGGAAAGGGTTGGAGTGTTAGAAACATGGATGAGAGAGAAACATCCATCAGCTGCCTCCTGCACACCTCCCACTGGGGATTTGCCGGAAACCAAGGTACATGCCCTTGACCAGAACTGAACCCGGGACCTTTCACTCCACAGGCCGACGCTCTATCCACTGAGCCGAACCGGCTTCGGCGGAAGGCCTACTCTTGCACGAATTTTCGTGCATCGGCCCCTCGTAGTAAGATAATGGAAATCTGGGTAACGCTCTTGTGATTGTGGGAAGGCCGAGTGAGACAACTGACAGTGCTCCGCCAGGGTAAGAGGCTGGTGCCGCTCTGTTCCAGGTGCTCCCAAAGTCCCGGAGGAGGAGCGGAAGGAGGAAGAGGGGGAGGAGGGAGACGCGGCGGCTGTGGCAGCCAAGAACAGCAACCAGAAGGGCAAAGCGAAAGGAAAAGGCAAAAAGGTGGGTCCGGAGGGGAAGGCGCTCAGGGCCTGAGGGAGCAGGGGCAGGCCGGGCTTTGGGATGAGTGTGGGCCTTGCGGCTGGGGCCGCGGCGTCCCCGGGGTCAGCATCGGGCTCCCCCTCTGGTGCCGGGACATGTGGCAGAGGGCACCAGACGTGTGAGAGCAGAAGAGGCAGTTGTGGGGTCACCAGGTTGGGGCTGGGCACCTGGGGCCTTGTGTCCTCTGGTCTCTAAGCGCCCCCCCCCCCCCTGCCCCCCCCCCCCCCAGAGCGCCCACAGGCAGACACACATTTCCTGGTCGGGGCAGTGGCGGCAGGCACAGTGTGCACACGCCGGCCTGAGAGCCAGCCGCGGGAGGTGCTGAAATAGCCCCACCTGACCCCTCCGGGCCCCCCAAGCAGGACCTCCCAAGCTTCCAGCAACTGAACAGGTCTGGGGCTCCAGCCCCCGCCCCCAGGCCTCCCTGTCCATTCTGACTGGGAATCCCCCCGGCAGACAGGTCGTTAAGGGTTTGCATGTCCTCTCACAGACTCAGGCACCAGCATGCACACACTAAAGAGAGCAGGACGGAAAGGTCCCGCGGGACAGAGAAAGTGACGGATATTAAGGTCAGCATGCCAGCAGGCCCCGGCTCCTTGCTGTGTGGTCTGTCCATTCGTTGTTTATTAATCCTCACCCTAGGATATTCTTCCATTCATACTTTAGGAAGAGTAGGAGAGGGGGTGGGAGGGGGAGAGAAACATCCATGTGAGAGAGACACATAGATTGGTTGCCTCCTGTACTTGCCCCGAGTTGGATGCGGATCAAACCTGCAAACCAGGAACCTGCCTTTGACTGGGAATCAAACCCAAGACCCTCGGTGCAGGGCCGGCTTGGTGAGGTGGTGAGGCTGGTTCACATCAGCCCAGACCCCGGATCCTGGTGTGTGAACTGAAGGCGGTTTATTCTGTCCGGGAGGAACCGAACTGGCGGCCGCGCAGCCTGCAGTGCAGGAGGCCTGGGGGTTCTCAGCGATGGAAACGTTTCAATCAGCTCTGGCTTTCTCTGGGTCGCATTCCCAACATACCCTGTGTTTCACAAGTGTCTAATGGAGCACCCTAGAATGCAGGGGGAGGCTCTGTGCCCGCAGGCCACGGGCCACCTGGCACACTGCAAGCCTGCCCTCAGCAAAAGTGCCCAACCACAGCACTCAGCTCGGAGTGCCCGGCTCTCCGCAGCCTCCCTGCCGGTCCCTTCTCTCCTCCCGGAGGGACGGGGGTGAGGGCTAGAGTCTCCGCTCCCCGTTTATGAGGGATCGGACCTGAGGGCAGAGGGCACCAGTTTGTGAGAACAGAGGGCCAGTGCAACCCAGCTGTGCCTGTTTCCTGTGCTTCTCTCTTCACTGCATTGACCATGTGTTACTGTAACAAACCGCCCTAAAGATCAGTGTCTTAAAAACAAACACTCCTCTTCTCCACTTCTTCCTGGAGGCAGAGTCTGGGAACAGCCTAGCCGGGTAGTTCGGGCTCAGGGGCCTCCGTTGCTGTCAGGGCGGCACTGAAAGCTCAGCTGGAAATGCAAGACCCCCTCTGCAGGGCCCCCTGTCCTGGCTGCTGGCCGGAGCCTCCCCAGGGCTGCTGGGGGTTCTATGACGCGGCAGCAGCTTCCCCAGAACCCACTACAGTGTGTGTGTGTGTGTGTGTGTGTGGAGGGCTACCCGGGGTCAGAGCCAGGCAGGGACCGTTGGGGGCCGCCTCGGAGGCTGGCCAGGACACTGAGCGTTTACTATGTGCTCCTGAGCATAGCGGTGGCTGACACTTCCTCTGCGTTGTGTGCTTAGAACAGCGATTTTCAACCCTTTTCCTCTCCTGGCACAAAAACTAATTACCAAAATTCTGCGGCACACCAAAAAAATGCACTTTTTACTGATCCGACCAAAAATGTTAGATATAATTTTGATGAATTCATACCAGACATTGTTGTGCTGGCTGTTGTCATTTTTTTAAAATTTTTTTATTGATTTCAGAGAGGAAGGGAGAGAGAGAAACATCAATGATGAGAGGAAATCATTGACTGGCTGCCTCCTGCACGTTGGAGCGAGTCCACAACCCAGGCATGTGCCCTTGACCGGGATCGAACCCGGGGCCCTTCAGTCCGCAGGCCGATGCTCTATCCACTGCGCCAAACCGGCCACGGCTGTTGTCATTTTTTTACCTGACAGTTTAAGGGAAGGAGGTCAGTGCCCCTGACGAAGCAGCCAGGCACCGGCGCTTTAAAGATCCCTGCGGCTCACGGTTGGAAGTCGCTGGCTTAGAACACAGCAATGGGAACCTGCAGCCTCACCGCGTTCGCCCCTGACAGCGGCTCTGCGCGGGGAAGGTCTCGCCACAGGCTCTGGGCCTAACAGGGACCTGGCAGGTTAATCCCAGCTCCACCTCTGCAGGCTGAGCCCAGCAGGCTCCTCATCTCCCTGCCCTCAGCGGCCCCCTGGGGGACAGGACAGCAGCTGCCTCCCGGCGGTGATAACGGGTTAAATGAGTGCGGGTTTGAGGAAGTGCTGAGAACTGGACCCAACACATTGGCAGACTTTATATGAGTGTTTGCTAAACATGCATTAAGCAGGGGCTCACCCAGCCTGCCTGCTTCTTCCATGGAGAACGGGGTGAGGGCACTCAGCACACCTCACACGGTGCTGGGTCCGGATGGCACCGGCTCTGGCTCCGGGTCTGGGCTCTGAGTCCGGCTTCAGGGAACAGCGGGGAGCGCCAGCCTCCCGGCCCCCGGCCCCGCCTCCAGCGCCCCGTCCTCTCCCCACAGAAAGCGGTGAGTGGCCCGCTGCCCCGGCCCGGCCCGGCCCTCTGAGGGCGGGGGCCGGTCTGGGCTGACGCCCCCTGCACCCCCAGAAGGAGGAGCGGGCCGCGTCCCCGCCCGTGGAGGTGGGCGAGCCGCGGGAGTTCGTGCTGCGGCCGGCCCCGCAGGGCAGGACCGTGCGCTGCCGGCTGACGCGGGACAAGAGGGGCGTGGACCGCGGCCTGTACCCCTCCTACTTCCTGCACCTGGACGCCGAGAGGAAGGTGGGTCCGGGAGGTGATGGAGAGGGAGGAGAGGTGCCAGGACCGGGTGGAGGAGGGTCTGGGCCACGATGTGGGGCGGGGTGCCAGGCTTCTCCCTGCGCCCCCCCACCCTCTCTCACCGTCCCCACAGGTGTTCCTCTTGGCGGGCAGGAAGCGGAAACGGAGCAAGACGGCCAACTACCTCATGTCCAGCGACCCCACCAATCTGTCCCGAGGAGGGGAGAATTTTGTGGGGAAGCTGAGGTGGGCTGAGGCTCAGGGCAGCAAGAGGCCATGCAGCCTTCCCTGACCCCTGAGCCCTCCCCCCCAGTGCCCACCGCAGCGGCCAGGGCCTCTCCTGCCCTGTGCAGAGCGCGTGGGGCTCTGGTTAGATGGCTGCGGGCGGGGGAGAGACCAGTTCTAACAGCCCCCGGGCGGTGCCACCTGCTCAGGGCCCGCACAGGCAGAGGCAGGCGCAGGGTCAGGCTTGTGTCCATGCTGAGTTCCCGGCAGCTGGCAGAATAGCTTCCAGCAGGTATTTACTAAGTGAGTGAGTGGACAAGTGGGTGGCACCTCCCCTGTGCTGTCTCCCCTCTATCTCACCTAATCCTCCCACAAATCTGAGTGGTGGGGGCTGGACCCCTGAGTCAAGCCTTATTTCTCTTATTTATGTATGTATTTAACAAACACATATACGGAAGTAAGTTCCGGATATTAACCCATTGAATCTTCTTACCTACCATTTTGCTATTTTTAAAAATATATATTTTATTGATTTTTTACAGAGAGAAAGGGAGAGGGACAGAGAGTTAGAAACATCGATGAGAGAGAGATGAGAGAGAAACATCCATCAGCTGCCTCCTACACACCCCACTGGGGATGTGCCTGCCTGCAACCAAGGTACATGCCCTTGACCAGAATCACACCTGGGACCCTTCAGTCTGCAGGCCGACACTCTCTATCCACTGAGCCAAACTGGTTAGGGCCCATTTTGCTATTTTTATACCCATTTTGCAGATGGGGAAGCTGAGGCTCAGATCAATTAAGTAACATGCCAAAGGTCACACAGCTAGTAAGAAATGGAACTGAGATTTGAATACTGCCCAGTCCCCTAGATCCACCTTTTTTTTTTTTAAATATAAATAAAATTGATTTTTTACAGAGAGGAAGGGAGAGAGAGAGCTAGAAAAACATTTATGAGAGACATCGACCAGCTGCCTCCTGCACACCCCCTACCAGGGATGTGCCTGCAACCAATGTACATGTCCTTGACCGGAATCGAAACCGGGACCCTTCAGTCCACAGACCAACGCTCTATCCACTGAGCCAAACCGGTTTTGGCTAGATCCATCTTTTTAAGTCTTCATGCTGGAAGGTTGGGGCAGGGACATGACTTGCTAGTCCTAAGACGCCTCCACGTTAGTGATCTGGTAGCTCTCCGTGCTGCTCGGCTGGAGGGTCTTGGAGTCGCGGCGGGGACCCCCTGAGCCCCGCCCCAGCTCCGCCCTGCTTGCAGGTCCAACCTCCTGGGGAACCGCTTCACCGTCTTTGACAACGGGCAGAACCCGCACCGCGGCGGGGGCGACGTGGGGAGCCTCCGGCAGGAGCTGGCGGCTGTGATTTATGTGAGTCTCCACCTGTCCCTCCCGCCGCCCCGCCCCTCCGGCAGGCCCCGCCCCCGGCAGGCCCCGCCCCCGCAGGGCCGGCCTAAGGCGCTCCTCCCTCCCAGGAAACTAACGTGCTGGGCTTCCGAGGTCCGCGGCGCATGACAGTCATCATTCCGGGCATGAATTCGGACAACGAGAGGGTCCCCATCCGGCCCCGAAACGTGAGCCCTGCACCTCCCTGCCCCTCTCCCTGAAGGTCCCACTCGCTCTGGGACTCGCTACTGGGGAGCTGGGGCGGGGCGTAGCGGGGAGTCAGCTCGCCCAGCACCCCACCTCTGGAGCACACTTCACCCTCCAGTGCAAGTTTATTCCGGCAACTCGGGGAATGAACTCGAGGTTCCTGTCGTTGAATTCACTGAAACAAACACAATGCTCTGTGTGTGCTTTAAGTTTACACCAAATCAGCCATTCACATGTTCATTCGATGCACACACACTGAGTGCCAGGTATCGAGGCACCCAGAAGACACCAGTGGACAAAGCGCAGGTCTGCCCTCATGCAGCTGGCATTGGAGGGGAGCGAGGCTGCAGATGATAACTGTGAGAAATAAGTAGGTAATGTGGTACGTTAGGAAATGGTAAGGGCAGGGGAGAGTCGAGTGGCGTTAGAGAAGTGAGAAATGGGGGGGGGGGTCGTCCACTATTAAGTACAGTGGTCAGAGTGGGCCTCGGGGAGTGGTGACATTTGAGCAGAGTCTGGGAGGAGGAGAGGGAGCGGCCCAGGCTCTGAAGAAAGACCCTCCAGCCCAGGGAAGAGCCGGTGCAGGCCCGCAGGCAGGGCGGGGCCCGGTGGGTCTGAGGAGCCGCAGGTGGCCAGAGGGAGATAGGTGAGAGGTGAGGGTGGGGGCAGACACCGCCTGTCTGACTGGTTTTCCTGTGAGAGGAACAGGAAGCCAGGGAAGGGTTTTGAGCGGAGGAGTGGCGTGATTTAACTTATATTTTTAAAGTATGTAGGGTAAGATGGAGAGATGCCTACAGGAAGGTGGCCTCCGTCGGGCAGTCTCTCACCCTGCTCCTTAGCACTGTGGGTCAGTGGGATTAAAGATGCAGGATGAGCCCTCGCTGGTTTGCCTCAGTGGATAGAGGGATGGCATTGCGGCATGAAGGGTCCCGGGTTCGATTCTAGCCAGGGGCATATGCCCAGGTTTCAGACTGGATCCCCAGTAGGGGGTGTGCAGGAAGCAGCCAATGAATGATTCTCATCATTGATGTTTCTATCTCTCTCTCCCTTCCTCTCTGAGATCAATGAAAAAAATATTTTAAAAAATATATATTTTATTGATTTTTACAGAGAGGAAGGGAGAGAGACAGAGAGCTAGAAACGTCGATGAGAGAGAAACATCGACCAGCTGCCTCTTGCACACCCCCTACCGGGGATGTGCCCGCAACCAACGTACATGCCCCTCACCGGAATTGAACCCGGGACCTTTCAGTCCGCAGACCGACGCTCTACCACTGAGCCAAACCGGTTTCAGCCAATTAAAAAAATATTTTTGAAAAACAATGCAGGATGACTGGCATGCCCCATACTCACAGTGGTGCCACTTCACTCATTTACACGGAAAAACAATATCCCTGTCGGCTGGTCACACAAGTGATCCGGCCAGCAGCCCGGGGGCACCGGCCAGGGGAGGGCCTGGTCTGGAGGCCCCTGTGGGTCCCATGCGCGCTCCCTCCACGACCGGAGTGAACACACACCCTCCAGGGCAGTGTCTCCGCACACCTGGCTCAGGGAGAGCCAGCCAGTGCTGCTGTGGGTCTCTCTCCACACCTCAGGTCAGTCAGTCAATACACGACCATTTGTTAAAACCGGCACCGAGATCCAAAGTCAACACAACAGTTACTGTCAAAACGGTCTCTGATCTTCGCTGAACATTTGCTCTGGTCTAGGAGCTGATTTAAATAGCTCCTCATGCGCTGCTAACTGATTAATCCTCACAACGGAGGGAGACTGAGGCACGGAGCTATGACTCAGATACTGTGCCTGCCTTAGTGTCTCACTCTGTCCGTTACATGCAGAGGAGAAAAGAGCGAGGAGTCGTGGAAGCTCAGAGCTAAAACATCTATTGTACATCAGACGTGGGGTCAGGAAGGCTTCTTGGAGGATGTATTTTAAAACATTTTCAAAAAATTGATTTTGAGACAGAGGAGAGAGACAGACACATTAATGTGAGTGGCATGTCAGCCAGCGGCCTCCTGCATGCTCTTCACTGGGGACTGAGCTCGAGACCCCGCCACGCCCTCAGTGCCAGGGACGACGCCCAACCAACGGGGCCCACAGGCCAGGAGAACACCATCTTGAGCAGACTCGCTCCAAGCCATGAACGTGACAGATGCCAAGGAAACTCAGTCAAGAAATATCTCAAAAGCACCCATACCGAGGCCACGCCTCCCTTCCCGAAACTCTCTTCCAGGGCGTTTTATTGTGGCCGCTGTGTATCTCCCCACGTGCACTGTGCGCTCCGTGTAGGTCCCGGAATGTCAGGTCATCCTTGTAATCAGGTGCCAGCATGAAGGGCCCTGGGATACCGATGGCACAGAGCACCTCCTGTGTGCCAGACGCTACTTTCCTTTTTTTTTTCCTTTTTAAAAAAATATATTTTATTGATTTTTCACAGAGAGGAAGAGAGAGGGATAGAGTTAGAAACGTGGATGAGAGAGAATCATCCACCAGCTGCCTCTTGCACACCCCCTACCGGGACCGCAGGCCGACGCTCTATCCACTGAGCCAAACCAGTGCCGGCTTTCTTCCTTTTTTTAATGTTTTTTAAAAAATATCTTTATTGATTTCAGAGAGGAAGTGAGGAGAGAGAAACATCAATGAGAGAGATTCATTGATTGGTTGCCTGCCTCACACTGGGGATCGAGCCTGAACCGAGGCCTGTGCCCTGACCGGGAATCAAACTGTGACCTCCTGGTTCATAGGTCAACGCTCAACCATTAAGCCACACCAGCTGGACTGCTTTCCATTTCCCACCCTCCACGTTGGCGTCCCACAGCAAAGCCCCATTCCTACAGGGGCACACCCTGCCCACAGGGGCACCGGAAGCCAAGCATGCTCTCAAGGATACCCCAAATGGGTGCTGATTTCCAGGCTCTGCAAGGGCACACATAGGTCGCCAGGCCCCTTCCCCTGTCAGCCCTGAGATTCCCAGCCCTAACCGTCCTCTCCCAATACCTCCGGCCCAGGCCAGCGATGGGCTGCTGGTGCGCTGGCAGAACAAGACTCTGGAGAGCCTCATTGAGCTGCACAACAAGCCCCCGATCTGGAACGAAGCCACAGGCTCCTACACCCTCAACTTCCAAGGCAGAGTCACGCAGGCCTCGGTGAAGAACTTCCAGATTGTGCACGCCGATGACCGTGAGTACGAGGGCCTAGGCCAGGCTGTACCCGCCGCCCCCGGGCCCGGCCCGGCTCAGGGCATCTGGGAGCTGGCCGTTTTCTCCAGGGGCACTGACACTGCGCCCTCAGGAGCTCCGGGGATCCCAGCAGGTGCTTGGGCCCTCGTTCTAGCACTTACCAGAGGCGGGGCAGACGGGGATATCCGGGTCAGACTGTGTCAGAGGGAGAGCTAAGCGGCTGGAGTTTGAAAGCCCCTGGCAGCCCAGCCCAGGGCAGAGGGTGCTGGCCCAGAGCGGCGGCCCTCACCCAGGCTCCTCAGAGCCCACGTCACAGACACGTGCACAGGCTTTCCTAGGAGGCAGGCACTGTTCTCGGGGTCTTAGAGATGGAATCCTTAGATCTTCTCAATAGCTCAGTATTGCTGTCCCTGCTTGGCAGATGAGGAAACCAAGGAACAGAGAGGTTAACTTGCCCAAGATCTACAGCTCCTAACAGGTCACCTGGCATTGGAACCCCTTTAGGCCTCTAGGGTAGGGACTCTTAAAAAAAAAAAAAAAAAAAAAAAAAAAAATATATATATATATATATATATATATATATATATTATTGATTTTTTACAGAGAGGAAGGGAGATAGTTAGAAACATCGATCAGCTGCCTCCTGCACACCCCCTACTGGGGATGTGCCCACAACTAAGGTACATGCCCTTGACCAGAATCGAACCTGGGACCCTTCAGTCCGCAGGCTGATGCTCTATCCACTGAGCCAAACCGGTTTCGGCAGGGTAGGGACTCTTAATTAAGCCTTTCTGGGCGCCTACTCTACTGTCTTCTCTCAAAGGAGGGGAAAGGCTTTCCTTGGAGATTTAGGGCCACAAGATGCACCCACAACACAAATTAAGTCAGAGTCTCTCACAGCGTGGGGCAAGGCATGCACTCGGTTCAGGAAGTTGGGATGTTAAGGTGCCTTTTAGGGGACTGGGGCTCCCAGCGCCCACTCCATCCTAGAGATGAGCTGGCGCCCAGTGTCACCTGTCCCGGGCCTTGGATACTGCTCTCCAGATCACATTTCTGGTGGAGCCTAGTCTGGTGAGGTTGGGGGTATTTTTAGTAACTTCCTGTCCCTATGGATGCTGGGGGAGGTGTCGGGGGCTGAGAGAGGCCACTGGGCGAAGAGGGAACCAGGGGGTTAGTCAAGGAGTGAGCCTGGTGCTCTAAGATGGGACTGGGGTGGGTTGGGAGGGAAGAGGGGAGGAAAATGGGGTCAGAATACGCAGAAAGTTGGCCAGGGAGGAATCTAGGTTTGGGGAAGTCTGACAGGTTCCTGCATAGCCCCGGGCGGCAGGAGATCAGGCAGAGTCTGTCCCCAGGGGCTGACAGCCCGAGGCATGGAAAGCTGCAGGTGGGGCAGGTGGGGTGAGATAAGGCGGTGGGTACTGAGGTCCCGTGCAGGGAGGGAACTTCCCGCTGTGGAGGGCATTGGGACCGTCCGAGCCGCGCCCTCGCCTCCGCAGCGGACTACATCGTGCTGCAGTTCGGCCGCGTGGCGGAGGACGCCTTCACCCTGGACTACCGCTACCCGCTGTGCGCCCTGCAGGCCTTCGCCATCGCCCTCTCCAGCTTCGACGGGAAGCTGGCCTGCGAGTGACCCAGCGGCCCCCCAAGTCCCAGAGCCGCCGCCGCGGCTGGGAAGGACTGGGGGGGGGGGGGCTTCGGGGTCCCCTCACCAAAGGCCCCGCTGCTCCTTTGCCAGGAGCGGACCCCGGTCTCCAGGTGACCTCCATCCTCTCCGCCGGCACCGGCCCAGCGGGGGAGGCGCGCAAACGGCGGCCGAGGCAGATGAGGAACATCTGGAGCCGGAGCCGCACATCTGGTCGCAGGGCTAGCCGGACCGCCACACACTAACACACACACACACTCACACTCACACACACACTCACACTCATTCACACTCACACAGACACACACAGACACACTCACACAGATAAACACACACTCACACAGACACACACTCACAGACACACACTCACACAGACACACACTCACAGACACACAGATACACAGACACACACACACAGACACTCACACTCACACACACACTCAGACACTCATACACACACACACTCAGACACACACTCACAGACACACACACTCAGACACACACACACACACTCACACTCATTCACACTCACAGACACACAGACACACCACACTCACTCACACAGACACACACACATACACACACACATACACACACACACTCAGACACACACACACCCCGCCCGCCCGCGCCCCGTCACCACTTCCTGTCCGGGGTCGGGAGCCAGTGCGGCTCTGCCCTGGGGGACCGCGCTGGGGCGGGGGACCGGGAGGGGGACGGGGACGGGAGGGGTGGTGGGGAGACGGGACGCACCCCCCAATAAAGCTGGTCCCCGGCCTGAGCGGTGGTGCTGCGGAGAGGGCGGCGGGGCGGGGGTCCGCGGGGCGGGGGCCTCCCTCCGCGCCTCCCGCCCGCCCGGCGCCGTCCTACCGAAACTCGGAGCCCGCCGCGGCCAGACGCCCCCCGCGGCCCGGGAGCCGGGGAGCGGGAGGAAGAGGGAAAGGGAGACATTGGAGAAACAAGCTCTCGGGGAGAACCAGACAAACCGGGTCCGGGCGGGGCGGGGCGGCGGGGCGGGAGGGATCCCACCTCGTGACGCGGCACCCGGACCCCGACCCCGACGGGCGCTCGCTCCCCAGCGGGGCCGCCGCCCGCGATCCCGCCCCGTCCGACGCCCGGAGCGGGCCGGCGGGCTGGGGGGCTGGGCGCGCACCCCGCGGCCCGGGGCAGGCGGCGGCTGCAGCTGCGGCCGCGGAGCCGAGTGGACGCCGGCGGGAGCCCGGTGCGGGCGGCCCCGCCCCTCCCCGCCCTCCGGCCCCGCCCACACCCGCCCTCCGGCCCGCCCCGCCCCGCCCCCCGCCGGGCTCCTCAACACAAACTTTCCGTCCCGCTCGCTCCCTCCTCCGCGCCCGGCGCCTCCCGCTCGCGTCCGGCTCATTCCGCACATTCCGGCGGCCCCCCAGCAGCCTCCCCGCGACCCTCCCCGCGCCCCCGCCCCGCGCCCCCGCCCGCGGCCCGCAGCGCCCGGAGCCCCGCCAGTCCGAGCAGGTAAGCCGCCCCGGGGAGGCCCGCGGGAGGGGGCGGGCTGGCGGCCGGCAGTGACTGGGGACGGGGGTTCCCGGGGAGGCCGGGTCCCCGAACCATTGTCCAGCCCGAGCCGGAGCCCCGGATCTGGGTGCCGGGAAGTTCAGAGGGAAGGGGGGGGCGCTCCGGGAAGCCCCGCCCACCGCACCCCGCCGGCCGCGGCCCGGACGGGCTGGCCGGGAGGCCGGGAGCCGGGACCGCGCCGCTGCCATCGGCTGCCCCGCGCCCGCTCCGGGTGGCAGGACGGGGCCCGGGGGCCGCACGGTTGGGGGGCTGCCACCGAGGCGCTCGCACCCAGGGCGCCATCCCGGGGCCCCGCCGCCCTTTGGACTCGGCTCGCGCTCCGGAGCCCGCCCGGCCGCGCCGCACAGGCCTCGGCGCCGGCTCCCGGCTCCCGCGCTGCCCGCGGCGCCCTGGGGGGTGGGGGCGTCGGGGCTGCGCCCCGGGCGAGGGGCCTGCGCTCTGCCTGTGTCCAGGGAGGTCCGGGTCCTGCCCTGAGCGCCGTGCGCCCCGCTCCGAGGGTGGCCGGGTTTGGGGCCTTCTCCTCGCCACACGCCTCAGCCCTGGTCTGGGCTTCGGGGCTGGAGGCGGCTTGTCCTGCCATCACCACGTCTGCCGAGCCCTTCACTCCTGCCGGGGCGGAAGGCGGGACCCGGTCTGTCCCGGAGACCCCCTTCTCTCCTTCCCAGGAGAGCGGCCCCGAGCCAGGGCTGGGAGAGTCCTTCCGGACAAGTGCGCTGGGGCCTAGGGAGGCTGGCTGTGTCTTCCCGCTCCAGGTGGAGGCAGGAGCAGGTCAGGCCTGGACTTGTAGCCGGGAGATCAGGGGATAGGGCTGGGGGCTGGGCAGCCAGGGCGCTCTGTCCTGTGCTGTGGCCTGGTCCTGTGGAGGTGCGACCACCCCGGAGAGGCTGCCTGACCAGAGTGCTGCGGGCGGCCTGGGGCATAGAGGAAATGCACGATTTGGGAGGATTCTGTGCTCCCTTCCAGGTATTTGTAGCTCCTTTTCCAAGGGGTGTCAACCCAGGACGTGTTTCTGTGGAACCCTGGCCCCCTCGCACTCGATGGGCAGATGTATCTTCTAGGATATAGGGTTGTGTTGGGGGTGACTTCGTGGGCCAGGGATGCCCCCCTCAGAGGGAGGCTGGGGCCAATGGGAGTCTGACCCCTGGGCCTTCCCCTGCCCCCTGGAGAGGGGACAGTATTTAATGTTAATAGTGCATGTGGGCTGGGAGCACTGAGCAGGATGGTCAGTGATTGGCAGGAGCGAGCTGTGTGTGTGTGTGTGTGTGTGTGTGTGTCCTGCCCTGGGCCTGCCCTCACCCTCAGACCTGGTACCTCCTCGCAGGTGAGGAAATATTAAAACTAGCATGAAACATCTCAGCTGAAGCCTAGAAATGAGATATCTGGTCCCAGCTGGACTTGAGCCAGCCGTGTCATCTTGGTGGGCCTCCGTTTCCCTGCTGGGAGTAATTCTTCCCTTTTCTCTGGGCCCCTAGTCAGCCTTCCCTCCCCTCCTGTTACGGAACCTGTGGCTGGAGAGGTCAGGGGGTGACCCAGTGGTCTTGGGAAGCCTGGTGGCTGAGGAGAAGCTGAGCCGGGTCGGCATGGCCACAGTAGCTGCAGGCAGAGGGGTCGAGGGACAGGGAAGCCGGGGGGGGGGGGGGGGGGGGGGGGCACTTCCCCGCCAAAGTGGCCATGGGGTCTGGCCAGCGGGATGGGATGAGTGGCATCAGAGGCCGCTTGGGTGGCGCCCCGGCCCCTGAGGGCTCAGTGTGTCAGCCCTAAGGGTATCAGCCCTGCCCGTCTTCCGCCTCAGGGGGGGAGGGGGAGGGGACAGAGGCTTCAGCTCAGTGAGGAGGGGTGGAGGGTGCTGGTAGCGCCAGGCTGGGAGCTGGGGGCCAAGATGGCTCCAAAAACCAGCTTTCTGGGGAGGCGCTTGGAGGTCACCCCCTCTTCATCCCACAGGGAGGCGCAGAAGCTGGGGCGCCCCAGGCCCGGCAGGAGCTTCTCCTCAGAGCTGGAGCAGAGGTCAGCCGTGACCTCCACCCGGTCCCCGGCCTCGCCCTGACCTCCCTTCCTGCGGGTGCGGAGCCAGCCCAGGGCTGCCTGCAGGAGGGGCCGCGCCCGCCCGGAGGACAGGAGGGCAGAGGGTCCCCAGGAGGCTGGCGGGAATCCTCTCCTGGGATCCCAGCCCCGGCCTGGAGGTTTCCTAGAGAGCTGATTGCTTCCTGTGCTCGCTGCCAGGCCGGAGGACAGGAAGCGATAGAGGAAGGAGCGTGCGGCTGTGGGTGCCGCCGGAGGCAGGCGTGCGAGGGGGACCCGGGGAGTCTCAGGGGTGGGTGCGGGCCTGAGAGAACCAGGTACAACCAGTCTGTGCGGCTGCGTGCCAGGCTGGACGGATGCCATCTGTGACATGCCTGTGACATGCGTGTGCGTGAGAGGAGCGGAGTGAGTGAGGCTGAGTGTGCCGAGTGCCCGCACCGGCGTGTTCGGGAGACTCCGCTCCGGGCCTGTGTCTGGCCCGGGTGGGGTTTGGACACTCCGTGTGTGTGTGTGTGTGTGTGTGAGTGAGGGGCACAGCGATGGTGTGGTGCTGAGCGTGTCCGGAGGAGAATGAGGGACGTTCTGGTGACCTGGGCGCTGTGACGTGGCTGCTTACGATGCTGTCTGTGTGCGGGCAGCGTGTGAGATGGTCTCAGGTTGTAGGAACTCCCGTGGTCTGTGTGTGTGACGGCTGTGCCCTGGTTTTGTTTGTGCGGGGCTTTGGGTGGAGGTCTGGGGGGAACCAGGTGCGTATGACACTGTGTGGGAAAGCCTGACGGTATGGGGGCGTGGGGCGAGTGTGTGAGACTGCGTGTGCAGGAGGGGTGCAGGGACGGCGCCTGAAGCTGCTTGGTGCTGCGAGTGAGGGAACGGGCGTGACGGAGACGCCTGTGGGTGGTCACTACCTGGATTGTTTGGGACTGTAGGACAGTGTGGGCGGCATCCTCAGGGCTGTGCCAGGCGTTGCGTGGGACCGTGGGACAACCTGGGGGCCTGATCTCAGTGCACGCGGCGTCTGTGTGGGGGGCCGTCAAAAAGATACCCGTTAAACACAAGAAGGAACGCACTCAGGGCCACTGACCTGTGCCCTTAAAATGGCTGAGGCTGGCCGCTGTGCCTCAGTGGTGGAGTGTCGACCTATGAACCAGGAGGTTAGGGTTAGATTCCCCGTCAGGCCATGTACTCTGGTTACGGGCGTGATCACCAGTGTGGGGTGTGCTGGAGGCAGCCAGTCAACGATTCCCTTCCTCACTGATGTTTCTCTCTCTCCCTCTCCCTTCCTCTCTGAAATCAATAAAAGATTATGTTTTTAAAAAATGGTTAAATTTGGCCCTGGCCGGGTGGCGCAGTGATCAGAGCACTGGCCCTCAGACTGAAGGGTCGTGGGTTCCATTCCTGTTCCTCCGTTACAGGCCCAGCCCCCGCCCCGGGTCAGGGCGGGTGTGGGAGGCAGTCAATCAATGTGCCCCTCTCACATCGACGTTCCTCTCTCTGTGTCTCTCCCTCTCCCTCCCACCCTCTCCAAAAAGCAATGGAAGCGTGTCTTGCAGTGAGGATGAACAAACAAACCAATAAAAACACATCCTCAGGTGAAGATTTTAAAGAAGTGTTAGAGTCATAAATTTTACGTTGCGTGTTTTTATCACAACGAAGCGAAAACCAGGAGAACGAAGCGTGTGTGTACGTGGGGGCGGGCCGAGGCCGTGTCTCTGGAGCCGTCACGTGGCAGCCCTCGTGGTGGGGGGGGAGGGGTTGGGGGGGGCTTGATTGATTGACAGCTGGCAACAGTGGGTGCCTCGGGCGGGTGCAGGCAGCCTGAGTGGGGGGCACCACATGTGAACTGAGAACTGTGGGACCCACTTTCCCAAGTTACCCATCAGCTGCATCTCTGTTCCCCTGAACTCGGACACAGGCCTGGGCTGGAGACGGACAAGGTGAGGGGACAGGACAGAATCGCAGGGTGGGGGTGAGGGTGAGGAAGGAGTGGGAACAGGCCCCCTCTCTGCAGGAGGGTGAGGTCCCTACCCTCCCACCCTCCTGCACTGCGGTGGGGGCGGGGTGCTGACTGGGCCAGCCTGGGAGAAGGGAGCCTGGGGTTCCTCTGCTCCCGGAGACTCCGTGTCCTGCGCGGGTGGGGGGGGTGGGGGGTGGGGGGGTGCAGAGCCTTGATTCCCAAATTGGAAGCACATTAATAAGCGGGGGAGAGGGGAGGAGGCCCCCATCCCCCTCCTGGTTGACTGCAAATTGCTTCCTCCTGTAAAACCCGACCCTGCTCCAGGGGGAGGGTGCTCCCTCCCAGGCCGGAGGGTGTGGCCACTTGGCAGGGTCCCTGGGGGTCCTGGGACCGGAGCTGGGGGAGGCACCATCGCCCATCCCTCCCCGCTCCCTGGGGCCCGGCTAGAGCTGGGAGGGTGGGAGGCGCTGGCAGCTGGAGAACAGCTGGCCCAGCGTGGCTGCGTGGGAGGAGGGGGAGCGGGAGGCTCCCTTAGCTCTCCCCACTGCCGCCCTCCTCGCCCCCTGGCCCCCTGGCCGGCCCAGCCAGGTTTGGGGTGGGATTCGGGATGGAGCTGCTGGTTTCAGTCCTCCCACACTGAGGGCTGGGCCCCTGCGAGAGCGGACAGCCGCCGGCCGCCAGACCCGCAGGGACACCGGGCCCGTGTGTCCGCCCCGTGGGGACACCTGCCTGGGCCTGCCTGCCTGCCGTCCACCAGCAGAGGGGAGCCAGCCCAGGTCCGGAGGCCGAGGGGCCGGGGCGGGGGGGGGGGGGGGCTGGCAGCCCGTCCGGAGCTGCCCAGCCGGTAATTCCAGCCGCCTGGCCCCGGGACAGGGAGTGGGCCGCAGGTGCCCCTTATCTCCCGCCTCCGCTCCGTCCCTGCCCCGCCCGCGCTGACCTCTGCCGCCCGCCCTCAGGCCGGGAAGAGGCGGAGGGACCGCAGGATCGCAATGGCGGGAGGCAGGGGGCCTCGCTGAGGGTCGGAGGTCGGCTGTGAGGAGGGGAGGAGGGAGGAGCAGATGACAGGAGTGGGGTGTCCTGGACATGCATGGTGGCTGCCCCAGCCCCAGGAGGGCCTTCCCTTCTTTCCAGTCTGCCCTGGCCTCTGGGTCTTTCTGCCATTTGTTCTTGCTTTTCTCCTCACCGCCCCTGTCCTCCCCTCCTCTCTTTCTCCTACCCCTCCCCTTCACTCCCCTCTTCTCCTCTCCCCTCCACCCCCTTCTCTCTCCTCCCCTCCTCTCCCTCCCTCTCCTCCCTCCTCTCTTCTCCTCACCTCTCCCTCACTCCCTCTCTCTCCCCTCCTCTCCCTCCTCTATCCTCCCCTCCTCTCCCTCCCCTCTCCTCCCTCCTCTCTTTCTCCTCACCTCTCCCCTTCACTCCCCTCCCCTTCTCTCCTCTCCTCTCCTCTCCCCTTCGCCCCCCTCCTCTCTCCTCCCCTCCTTTCCCTCCCCTCCCCTCCTCTCCTTTGTCCTCTCCCTTCTCCTCTATTTTCCCCTCCTCCCCTCCCCTCCCCTCTCCTCTCCTGTCCTGTCCTCTCCTCTTCTCTGTCTCCTGGCTCGCCCACTCCCGTATCTGAGTTTATTGATCTTTCCCCCTCAGGACCCTCTAATCCCCTCCGGACTCCCCTAGACTCTCCCTCCCCTCCACCGGCCTGTCCCTCACTCGGTCTTTCCTCCTCTCCCCTCTTGGTGGCAAACCCAGCCAGGCAGCGGTTCTGGCCACCTGGGCAAGTACGGACGGGGCTGGGGTGGGAACCGCCACCCTAAACCCTGCCTGTACAGGGAGATGAGACCCGAGTCTGGGCTGGGGCGGCCACCCAGGGGGCCTGCTCCCCCCACACACACTGAGCCCCACAGTTGCCTCCGTCCAGCCCTGCAGCTGCAGAGCCGCCCCCAGCCCCGCTGGGCCGTGTCTGGGTGTGAGCAGAGGGGCCGCACACACTGGCCTCTGGCTTCATCCACCGAGGACCAGAGCGGCTGCTGGCCCAGGCCCCCCTGGTGTCCACGGGGGAGCCTGGAGCAGCTGCTGGCCCAGGCCCCTCTGGTGAGCCTTGGGAGAGCCCGGAGCGGCTGCTGCCACCACTGCCGTGGGCATGCTCAGCCGGGGTGTGCGTGGCACCCACACGCACACCTGACACGCGTGTGCTGTGCACGGCTGAGGCGGGCCACCTGTGCGCGTGTTAGTGCCTGTGCCGCACCAGTCTTCCCGGGAGAGGAGACGGGCATGTGCCAGGGGCCTGCGGAGGACCACGGGGGTCCCTCTCCTCTCCTTGACTGTCCTTGCGGCCACCCCCTCCCCCTCACCAGCTGCCAGCGGTCCCAGCCAGGCCGCCCCACCCCCGCCTGTCCCGGCTGAGCTGCTGTGTTCGCCATATTTGGCCACAGTCTCCTGCGGGGGGCGGGGCGGGGCTGACATCACCCTGGGGGGGGGCACCGCCTGGTGGGGGGAGGCGGACGGGCTTGGGGGAGGCAGGAAAGTTGCTTTGAAAAGTCGGCAGCCAGGGGCCCCCATGCCCCGGGCCTCCCCTGCTCTGAGCGAGGCGCAGGAGGATTTGGGGGGTTGGCTGAGGACTGGGGGGTGGGAGGGTCTCAGCTCCCTGCAGCCCCCCCCCCTCCGCTGACAGCTGTGACAGCATCAGCCCGGGGAGAGCCTGGGCCCCAGCTTCTTCAGCGCAGGAGTCTCTGCGCCCCAGGCCCTGCTGCCCCTGCTTTTATTTAAGAGCTGGGCCTGGGGCTGAGGCGGTGGTGATGGGTTCGGTCCTGGGTGGAGACTGGGTACCGTGTGGCTCCTCTGCCCGGCGCCCGCACCTGCTCCCGCTGCCTGGGGGGCCCTCAGTGCCGGGCCTTGAGGGGTGCCCCTGGTCCGGACCCCCCGGGGCACACGGGTGTGGTTGCCATGACAGCTTGGCGTCCTCTCTAGCACAGGTGCTGGAGCTCTGAGCCCCATCTCCTTGGTTAAGAGGCTGAAGCCAGATTGCCTGGGTCCAGGACCTGCTCTAGCACTTACTAGCTGTGTGTCCTTGGGCAGGTTGCCTAACCTCTCTGTTCACTGGTTTCCGCACGTGTAAAGTGGGAGCGATAGTAGAGTCTCTCTCAGAGGTGTGTGTAACACACGTGAGTCAGTGTGTGTAACACCGGAGCGGGCCTGCCTTTGGCACGAGCTGCCGTCCGTAGCCCGATGAAGTCCACACTCGGGGTCCATCTGACGTGCAGGCTCCACACACACACACACACACACACACACACTCACCCCCCGCGCCACTGGCCACCTCCTTCAAGCTTCCTATGCCAACAGGCGTCCCCACGGGGAGACCCTCCCCCGTTCAGCAGGACCCGGAACCCGTGTCTGAGGGTTTCTGAGGGTCCCCCCATCCCCGCCCTGCCCCTGCTTGTCCTGCAGCCCAGAGCGAAGCCCAGGATCTAGCCATCCCAGCGCCCTGGTATGGACTGACGGGGTGGGGTTTGGGGCTGCCTTGGGGGGGGGGGCTGGAGGGTGTAGTCTGATGGGGGGGTGTAAATTAATAGCCCAGCCTGGGGAGCCGAGGCACAGAGCCTGGCCCATCGCGGTGGGAGGCAGGGCGGGCGTGTGGGCGGTTATGGGCCTCGGGAGGTGCGAAGCAGGAAGTGGATGGGGAGCGGGCGGGCGGGCTGGGCAAGGCTGTGGGCCAGGCACCTCCTCGCTGCTCCCTCGCCAGCCAGCGGCTCCTGCGGTTCCTGGGGCGCTTCCTGCCCGAGTGTAGCTTCCTTGGCAGGGCTCTCAGAGTTATCTGTGGGCAGGGCACCCTCACCCTCGTCACCGCGGCAGGTCCTCGCCGGGTTGTGTGGATGCCGGGGAGAAGGAGGGGTGGGGAGCCCCGAGACAGGGCGGAGGAGCTGGCGGGGGAGCCCCTCAGCTGCCCTCTGTGCTCGGCTGCCTTTGACAGCGTGTGGCCTGGGGAGCCTTTCCCCTCGCCTGATGCGGGGCCTCCCGCCTCGCCGCCCGCCTCGCACTGAGGACTGAATGAATGTGAGTGCTGTGCCCACACACGGGCGGTGCGGGTGGACGCGTTGTCATTGATCGCCACGCGTGCTCTGAGTCAGGCATGTGGTTGGACTTGTGATCCAATGCACCCTCACCGCCTCCAGGAGACTCTCCTCCTGTCCCAGGACCAGGGCTCCAACAGGTGACCTCTCATCCCGGGCACTCAGCCCCGAACCCCTGGCTCCCTCCGCCTGGCCCAGGGCACGGCCCCTCCGGAGGCGCTGCGGCCGGGGACCCTGCCCTCACCTCTCGCTCTCTCTGCCGCAGGCTGCCCGGTGGGCTCAGGCCCAGAGTCCAGAGTAACCAGCACAATAGCGTCCAACAGCTGGACCGCCAGCAGCAGCCCCGGGGACGCCCGGGAGGATGGGCCCGAGGGCCTGGACAAGGGGCTGGACAACGATGCCGAGGGCGTGTGGAGCTCGGACATCGAGCAGAGCTTCCAGGAGGCGCTGGCCATCTACCCGCCCTGCGGCCGCCGCAAGATCATCCTGTCGGAGGAGGGCAAGATGTACGGTGCGTGCGGGCGGGCGGGCGGGGCGGGACGCGGACGAGGGACACCAGGGCCCGGGGAGCAGCTGGCCTCCGCCCCGCCCCACTCTCTGCCCCTCACCCAACCGGTTTGGCCAAGCCCAGGGCTGCCAGCGCGGGCGGGCGAGTCTGTGCGTGCAGCCTGTGTGTCCGGATCCTCCTCGTAAACAGGCCGGGCCTGCCCTCCGCCAGCGCGGGCCCACACCTCGCGCCCCATCTGCCTCTCCTCCTCCCCGCTGCCCCTGGAGGTTTCGGGGTGACTCAGTGGGCCCAGGAAACTGGGTCAGTCCATGGTGCACCAGGCTGGGCCTGGGAGGGGGTCCCTCCCTGGCAGGACGCCGGGGGCCTGAGGGGTGAGGGGTGAGGCCTGGGGGGGAGCCCCACTTGCGAAGTCCCCCTGGCGGGTGGGAGGGGGGCTGCAGGCCGGGGGGCAGCCACCGTGAGGGGCTGCGCTGGGAAGAGGCTGAGAGACGGCCATGCCTCAGCCCACCCCACGGGGAGACGGCCTTCCCTCTGCCACCTGCCCACCTGCCGCTCCAGGAGGGAGTGTCCCTCCTGCTGGGGCTGAGGGCTCTCCCGGGCTGCATTTTTGGGATAACTCAGCCCCTCTTGGCTTGGCTCCTTGCCAGCTCCCTCCAGCCCTCCCTGTCAGCCCTGCTGAGCAAGGAGGCCCAGCCTCTCCCTCCCGCACCCCGCACCCAGCACCCAGCACCAGGCCGCGTAGGAAGGAGCGGAGGGCTGCCCCAGTGAGTCCCCTGCCCCACCCATTGCCCTACCCATCCCAGCACAGCTCCCCGGCCACTGGGCAGGCAGATGTTCTGGGCGGCGCCTTGCACGGGCGGGCGGGAGCTCCATTGCGCCCTCCCCGATGGCGATGGCGGGCAGCCCCACGGGTATTTTTGGAGGGGTGGAGGGGGTGGGGGGGAGGAGTGGGGTGGAGAGGGGCAGGCAGGAAGGGAGGAGCAGTGGGGCTGGTTCTGTCACCAAAGAGGAATTTGAAGAATGCGGCCATTCCGGGGAGACTTGGTGAGGGGCAGGGGGCCTGGGTTTGGGGGTAAGAAGTACACCCTGAGGATCCTGACAGACCATTAGTCACGTGTCCACACCCCCCTCCCGGCCACGTCCCCACCGAGGCGACCAGGCAGGTGGGGCTCCGGGCCCTGGTGACCTGCGACCTGGTGACAGGCTCAGTGACACGTCCTGACACAGACCGACTGTCAGCGTGGGAGGTGCTGGGACCCTCCTGCTGCCGAGGCAGAGGAAGGGGCTTGTCCAGGCCTCCCCTCGGCACAGGGACTGCCGGACACGTGGCCACTGAGACAGGCTGCCAGGCCCCCTCACTCAGAGATACCCCTCCCCACACGGGCACCCCGGCCAGGCCCCCTCACTGGGCACCCCGGCCAGGCCTCCCTCACTCAGAGATACCCCTCCCCTCACGGGCACCCCGGCCAGGCCCCCCCTCACTGAGCACCCTGGCCAGGCCTCCTCACGGGGCACCCCGGTCAGGCCCTCTCACACCGGCACCCCGGCCAGGCCCCCTCATACGGGCACCCCGGCCAGGCCCACTCACACCGGCACCCCGGCCAGGCCCCCTCACTGGGCACCCTGGCCAGGCCCCCCCTCACTGGGCACCCCGGCCAGGCCCCCTCACTGGGCACCCCGGCCAGGCCCCCTCACTGGGCACCCCGGCCAGGCCCCCTCACTGGGCACCCCGGCCAGGCCCCCCCTCGCTCGGGGATCTGCCCTCAGAGGCTGGCAGTGGTGGCAGCGGAGAAAGGAAGGGCGGCTGGGCCGGGAGTGAGGGGCCCAGCTGTCCTGCCCTCGGGCTACACCTGTCCCTGTCCGTCCTTCAGGGAAACCTGTCCAGCCCTGACATGGGCCTGCCTCCCTCCCTCCCTCCCTCCCTCCCTCCCTCCCTCCCTCCTTCCCTCCTTCCCTCCCTCCCTCCTTCCCTCCCTCCCTCCCTCCCTCCTTCCCTCCTCCCCCCCCTCCCTCCGCCCCTCCGCTGCTGTCCCCTCCCTCCCTCCCTCCCTCCCTCCCTCCCTCCCTCTGCTGCCCTGCCCGTCCCCTCCCCCAGGGAGCAGCCGGGCCTGAGGGTGGGGGAGCACCTTGGGGCGGCTGTGCCCTGAGGGGCGGAGTGGGGCAGCCGGTGGGTCCGTCCGCAGCCAGCACTGTTTCCTCCGCCCTGCAGGCCGGAACGAGCTGATCGCGCGCTACATTAAGATGAGGACGGGGAAGACCCGGACGAGAAAGCAGGTAGAGGCTGTTGATGTTGTGGCCCTTCTGCCCTGCCCCGAGCTGCCCCCTCTGGTGACTCCCCCACCCCCCCCAAGCTGTGTCGTCGCCCATGACTGGCTTCTCTGACCACCCACCACCCGCCCAAGTCCGGGTTCGGTGACCGGCGAACCGCCCGCCCGCAGCTGTGGCAGCTCCACGGTCACGCTGAGCGGCCCCTGGCGGCCCAGACAGACGGCTGGACGGACGTGGGCAGGGGGAAGGAGAGGGAGCGGGAGCGGGCTCCAGCTGAGGAGGGGGCTCCGGTGGTGACGGGGCTCCCTGCAGAGCTGCCTGGTGTGACCGGACTTGGTCCTCACAGCAGCCTCAGCGGTGGGGCAGCGGTTCCCTCCGCTGACAGGAGGACACTGAGGCACGGGAAGCTAAGGTACTTCCTGCTGGTAGGTGGTGGGCCCAGGGGCCAGCCCACTGGGCAGGAAAGGGCCTTCATTCATTCAGCGGAGGGGGGGTCAGAGGCCGTGGTGAGAGATCCAGCCCCGCGGACAGGTCCCCCTGGCGGCGCCGGGGCCATGGAAGGGGCCAGAGCGGGGAGCGGCGGGGCAGGTGGCAGGAACGGTGGCCCCCGGGCAGCCGGCCACGGGCTGGGGCCGGGCAGGGACCTAGATCGGCAGCAGTGGCCGGGCAGTGGCGGCGGGATGGGCACCAAGCTGAGCTGAGAGGTGCCTGGGCAGCGGGCAGTCAGGAGGCAGCGTGCCCACAGGAGGCCTGAGGGAATTGTTTGGGGGGCTGCCCAGGGTGCCTGGGAGACAGGCAGCCTGGAGGCAGGTTCCCGGGGGAGTGGGGGCCCCCCTGACCCTCAGCCTCCGCCCCGGGGGTCTGCCTGGGCTGGACCCTGCGCCCGCGCTGCCCCGCCCGCTGTCCAATACCAACAGCACAACGACTGCAATTTCTTTTGAGAGCCCAGAACTGACTTCTGCGCATGGGCCACGAAGTTTCCATCGCACTGTACGTGCGTGCCCGAACGTGGTGTTTTGTGGAAGAGCCGCACTCAAGGGGCCAAAGAGCCACATGTGGCTCTCGAGCCGCGGTTTGCCGACCACTGTCCAAGGGAGGTTCGAAGTCAACTGCCCAGTGTGGGAGCTTTTCTGAACCCCTGCCCCTGCCCGCTCAGGTCACACAGCATCTATTTCTTCTGCAAATCACTGAGCTCCTGCCGTCCCAGGCACAGGGCGCCGGACAGTCTCGGGCTTGGAGCCTGGGATGCGGCAGGAACACTGGCTGTCGGACCGCTGGGTGCGAACTGCGGCCGCCTCCCTGCTGGGCGGTGCTCGCTGCAGCCGCTGCCCCCGAAGCCGGAGAAGCACTGCGCTGGTGTCCTGCCTCACCCACAGCCGTGCTCAGAGGACGTTTGTCAGAGAGGGACGGGGCGGGGCGCCTGAGGCCCAGAGGCATAGAGAGATCTTCATTCTGGGCCCGAGTTATACCTGCGCCTGGCCAGTATCCCGTGAAGGCTGGCTGGCCAGGAGGTTTTATTTTCATTATAAAATGAAATTATAAAACACTAATTGTGAACAAAACCAGCTGCCGGCAATCGGGGCTTTAAACGCCGCTGGCCTCTGTCATCTTGCACAGGGCACTCCCCTGACTTGTTTTCCTTCCAACTCCAAGATCAGGATCTCCTTGCCCGGCCCCCGTGGTGAGGACAAGGGGGTGTGCTTGTGTCTCAAGGAGCAAGTAGCTAACAGACAAGGTTGTTTCCGTGTTTAAAAATGCAGTTTTGTGTTTTGACAGGTATTTATAGCAATGAGCAGCAAGTGCAATGCCTTCATATTGTAACAGCCCAGCTAAATATAACATGGGATTAGGTCCTGTGTGGCTTCACCTGTCTCCGAGGTGGCCACATGGAGCTGGTCCCCTGGGTTAAGGGTCGGGAGGAGTCCAGGCAGCGTAGCCCGGGTGAGGCAAGGGGCCTTGGCATCAGGCGCCCTGGATTCATTTCCCAGCCCCGGCCCCGGCCCCAGCCCCAGCCCCAGCCCCAGCCCCAGCCTCAGCCCCAGCCCCAGCTGAGTGGCCCCAGCCCCAGCCTCAGCCCCAGCCCCAGCTGAGTGGCCCCAGCCCCGGCCCCAGCCCCAGCCCCAGCCCCAGCCCCAGCCTCAGCCTCAGCCCCAGCCCCAAAGTGGCCCCAGCTAAGCGGCCAACCTCTCTGAGCGGTGGTTTCATCGCCTGTAAATCAGAAGTAATACCAGTGCCGCCCACTTGGTGGTGCTGCAGGTTGGATGAGGGGTGAGGGTGGAGGGCTGGGCCCACGGGCGAGTGCGGTCAGTGCCACGCCGCAGCCGGCCAGCTTGCTGACCCGGGTCTGACTGCCGTCTGAGGCGAGTGAGGAGCGCCCGCCGGGGTCCTAACCCAGCATGGGCGCTGCCCACATCACCTACGCAGTAACTTTGCGTCTGTGATGGAAAAGAAAGGAAACTTTCTTTGCGGGAATAAAAACTGCCGGCAAAGAAAGCCAGCAGCGAGGCCGGTGACGAGGTGTGAGGTGCCCAGGAGCCGGGTCCCGGGTGCTGCAGGGACAGTGGCCGTTGGGTTCTCTGAGCTCAGGCTCAGGCCCGCGAAGGGCCTGTTGTCCCAGCGCCGGCACAGCCACCTGACGTGGCGCCCCGGCTTGGGCTTGCCGGACAGGAAGGCTTCGGGGAGGAGGGGCTGGGGAAGAAGCCCAAAGGGGGGGTCCTGCTGTGTGCGCCTGTGCCCCCGCCCCGTCAGTCCGAGGAGAAGGGAGGCGTGCGGGAGGAAGCTGCGTGAGCAAGGCGGAGTGGGCAGGCCTGGCCGGTGGGCCGCAGCGGGTGGGTGACTGGAAGATGGAGGCAGTGACAGGGGGAGAGGATTAGAGAGAGGATGGCCGGACGTGTACCCTCACGGCCAGCAGAGCATATGCCATTGCCAGCTCTGCGGAGCCAGTGAGCCAAGAAAGCCCCTGGGAAAATAGAGGTTTGCACGCTCTTCCTCTGGGCTGGACGCAGCCCTGCACCGGCACACGCGTGGCCAGCAGGGCTTGGACCGGATTTTAGCGTCACGGCGGGTGCCTTGCCCAGTGGACAGCTGGTGGTCCCAGAAGCCCGTGGGCTCTTGATCCAAACAGGGCCAGGAGGACCGCAGAATTGCCAGGCAGGGCTGCGGACGGTCTGCCCCGGGGCCCAGGGTCCCCCACTTACCTCTGTTCCCGGAGACGAGGCCGGCGGCTGGGTGGCTGCTGTGCCGCCTCCTCACTGTGTGTTTCCCTCCGGCTGGGCGCGGGCAGGTGTCCAGCCACATACAGGTTCTAGCGCGGAAGAAGGTGCGCGAGTACCAGGTTGGCATCAAGGTACGTCGGGCCTGACCGGGCCCCAGCCCTCCGGGCGCCGCCACGCCCGCCCGCACCGCCGGCCGCGCTCGGCAGCTCTCCGCCCGGCCCCTGTGCCTCTTCCGGCTGCAGCTCTGTTCTTGCCTCTCCTTCCACTCGCTGCTCTTTGGCTTTCTCTCTCTTTCTCTCTCTCTCTCTACAGGTCTCTAGCCACTTGCAGGTTCTAGCCAGGCGGAAATCTCGGGAGATTCAGTCCAAGCTGAAGGTATGGGGTTCCTTGCCGGGCCCTGCCCAGGCCGGTTGCTGCTCTCTGGCCCCGGCTCGGGGCAGGGAGGGGCCGAGGAGCTGAAGCCCCAAGGCCGAGCAGGACGGCAGTCCCAAGTGAAGGAGAGGAAGACCATCTGGGGCCACTAGGCTCCTCTCTTCTCCGTTTTCCTTTTCCTCCTTCCTCCTTTGCTGCTTGCGAATTGCACGAATTGCACGGGGACTTCCGGAGGGCAGGAGGAGACACGAGGGCATTGCTGGCAGAGCTATTGTGTGGGCATGGCTGTTCTTGCATCGGACACTCCATCCTGGCTGCTCTGGGCCTGGGCCCCGGGCAGGGCCCCTGCTGGCTGCATGTTCTTCTTTCTGCCCATAGCTGCCCAGTAGCCTGGGGCATGGGCAGACCCCAGGGACACCAGCTTGGCCCACCAGCCTGCCCTCCATCATCCTGCCCTGTCCAGGGCACCCCAGCTTATAAACACGGCCTCTGGGTGGCCGAGCGGGGAGGTGGGCGGAGGGGGGAGGGCGGGGGAGGGTGGCGGAGGGGGGAGGGCGGGGGAGGGCGGGAGGTCCCCGGAAGCCGGGAGCCAGGTGGGCTGGAGGGGAGGGCGGTGAGAGACATGCCCCGCCCCACATGGCCCGCTTTGTGCGGCTTCTAATCACGCTCCCTCTCCTCCACAGGCCATGAACCTGGTAAGTAGACTCCCCTCCCCTGGGGGCGGGAGAGCACCTCACGGAGGATTTTCACATCCGGGTTGGAAGTCAGGGGAACAGGCTCTCACACTGTAGCTGCGGAGTCCCTGGAGGCCTGTGACGTCAGATGGCGGGCCTCAGCCCCAGACGCTCCGATTCGGGGGCCTGAGCGGGGCCTGGAAATGTGCCTAGAACAAGCCTCCAGGCGATGCGGGGCTGTGGGGCCAGAGAACCACGGGGGAAACGGAACAGAAAGCATGGCAGTGCGGGACAGAATGAGGGGATATTTCCGTACCTGCTGGGCTGTAGAATAAAGAAAGCGATTTCTTACCGTGCATTGTGGTTGGAGGGGTGACGTGCCCTTAGGAGACAGGCCCAGAGAGGGGCTGAGGCCCTCCGCGGCCACACGGCAGAGCAGGGGCCGCAGTCCAGACACGGGCCTCCCGAGCCTGGGCGGGGCCCTGGGGCGAGCCCCTGTCCTGTCCGCCCTCACGGCCCCTCCCTTCCCAGGACCAAGTCTCCAAGGACAAAGCCCTCCAGAGCATGGCGTCCATGTCCTCCGCCCAGATCGTCTCCGCCAGCATACAGAACAAGTTCAGCCCGCCCTCCCCCCTGCCCCAGGCCGTCTTCTCCGCTTCCTCGCGGGTACGGGTATGGGAGTGGGGCTGGTGAGGGCCTGCCTTCGGGGCTGGGGTGAGGATCAGATTCTGAGGGACCTTGGCTTTGTCCCATCCCTGCAGTTCTGGAACAGCCCCGCTCTCCTGGGACAGCAGCCCGGACCCTCTCAGGAGTGAGTATCCCGGTGCCCCTCCCCACGCCCTCTGCTTTCCCTGGGCAGCCGCACTCGCCTTCCCTCCCATCCGGGTTCCAGCAACAAACCAGCGTTTTCATTCAAAAACAGAGGGAGGGAGTAAGAGAGCTAATGCATCTGTCTATTCATTCGCATGTTTGTTCACTCATCAGCCCACTCATCCACTTGTCATCCGTCCTTCAACTGTCTTTCATTCGGTTAATCTCAGCCAAGTAGCCAAGTGTACTCGGTTCCTCCATTCTAAGCTGACTTTCTTCCAGAGACACACCCTCAGTCTAAGCGCAGCTCTTCCGGGTGGGGTTGAAACGCCAGGTTAAATGTGCGCGTCCGTCCGCTGTGAGCTGCAGCAGGATTTCACAAAAGTTACCGTGGGAAGCAAACAAATGCTGGCCAGCAGCCTCCGGGCCTCTGCAGAAAGGCTGCTGGCTCTCTGCTGGGACCCCAGAGCAGGCCCCACGGGGCTGGGCTGGATGGAAGGCAGGGGAGGGGCCCTCTAACCAGGCTGTGCTCCTGTCTGCAGCATCAAGCCCTTCGCACAGCCAGCCTACCCCATCCAGCCGCCCCTGCCGCCGCCGCTCAGCAGTAAGTTCCCCGGAGGCTGCCCCCACTTCGCTCAGGCCTGCATCTCTGCTCAGAAGACTCGGGCCCAGCTGTGTGTGCGCATGTGTGAGCACGTGTGTGTGTGTGTGTGTGTGTGTGTGTGTGTTTGTGAGTGAGAGGGGAGTGGGTGGCATCTATAGAGATCGGGACATACCAGGAATAGCCCCCTTGCCTTCTGCAGTGCACACCACCAACAGTATCACATTTGTAGACTGTATGTATATAGAATCCCTGGTAAGGAAATACACCAAAGTCTTAACAGAATTTCATTCTCTCTAAGTGTGAGAATTCTGGTTAATTTTTAATTTTTTTTAATTTTTATTTTTTTTTATTTTTTAAAGGAATTAGAATTTTTCTACATTTATTTATTTTTAATATATTTTATTGATTTTGTACAGAGAGGAAGGGAGAGAGATAGTTAGAAACATCGATGGGAGAGAGTCATCGATCAGCTGCCTCTTGCACATCCCCCCTGGGGATGTGCCCACAACCAAGGTACATGCCCTTGACCGGAATCGAACCCAGGACCCTTCAGTCCCCAAGCCGATGCTCTATCCATTGAGCCAAACCTGTTTCGGCTCTGGATAATTTTTTAAACATGTTTTTATTTATTTTAGAGAGGAGAAGGGAGAGGGAGAGAAACATCGATAAAAAACATCTATCAGCTGCCTCCTGCGCGCCCCCTACTGGGGATCCAGTGGAAATGTGGGCTTGTGCTCAGAAGGGAGTTGAACCTGCCGCCTCAGTGGTGGGCGGACTCTCAGCCGACTGAGCCACACCGCCCGGCTGGGTAGCTTATTTCCCTTTGGACATGTTTGCATTTCCTGGCCGGAGCCCGCTAGCGATGCAGGAGAGGCGGCTGTGTGCGCACTGGGCCACACCGCCGCAGGCTGCACCGTGTGCGGGACACCCCGCGGGGGCTGAGCGCGCGCCCGCAGCGGGCGGGCTGGCCGCACGGACCGCCCGCCCACGAGGCCCCTCCGCAGGCTACGAGCCGCTGGCCCCGCTGCCCCCCGCCGTCCCGGCGCCCGCCTGGCAGGACCGCACCATCGCCTCCTCGCGCCTGCGGCTGCTCGAGTACTCCGCCTTCATGGAGGTGCAGCGCGACCCCGACACGGTACTGTGCTGGGGGCCGCGGTGCAGGCCTCAGCCCGGGGGTGGGGGGGCAGCCACGGGCCTACCCCACCCTCCCCCATCACCCCTACCCGCCCCCATCGCCCCCACCCCCGCCCCCATCACCCCCCTTGCCACCATCGCCACCGCCCCAACCCTCCACGCCGCCCACACCCCCGCCCCCACACCCCATCCCCCGCCCCCATCCCCCCATCCCCCCCATCAACCCATCGCCCACCATCGACCCCACCCCCGCCACATACCCCCCAACCCCATCGCCACCCACCCCAGCCCATCACCCACACCCCCCCCATCATCGCTCCTCACCCCCACCCACCCCCTCCCCCATCACCCCCCCGCCCACCCCACCCCATCACCCCACCCTCCCCCCATCACCCCTACCCGCCCCCATCGCCCCCACCCCGCCCCCATAACCCCCGTCCTCACCCCCGTCCCCATCACCCCGCCCCGCGCCCCCGCCGCTCCTGACCCGGCCGCCCTCCCCACAGTACAGCAAACACCTGTTTGTGCACATCGGCCAGACCAACCCCGCCTTCTCGGACCCGCCGCTGGAGGCCGTGGACGTGCGGCAGATCTACGACAAGTTCCCCGAGAAGAAGGGCGGCCTGAAGGAGCTCTACGAGAAAGGGCCCCCCAACGCCTTCTTCCTCGTCAAGTTCTGGGTGAGCGCCCGCCCCAGACCCGCCCCAGACCCCGGTCCTCCGGCCCAGCCCGTGGCCCCCTCCAGCCTCCCTCCCGGCCTCCCCCCGCCCCCCTCCGGCCCCCTCGGGCCCCCAGCAGCTCAGGGCCGCCCCTCCCGCAGGCCGACCTCAACAGCACCATCCAGGAGGGCCCGGGCGCCTTCTACGGGGTCAGCTCCCAGTACAGCTCCGCCGACAGCATGACCATCAGCGTGTCCACCAAGGTGTGCTCCTTCGGCAAGCAGGTGGTGGAGAAGGTGGAGGTGAGTGGGCCCGGGGTGGGGAGGATGGGGGCGGGGAGGATGGGGGTGGGGAGGATGGGGGGCGGGGAGGATGGGGATGGGAGAGGATGGGGGGGAGGACGGGGGTTTGGTGGGGGCTGGCCAGGAGCGGGCCCCAGCGCGGCCTTCCTCTCCGCAGACGGAGTACGCGCAGCTGGAGAACGGGCGCTTCGTGTACCGCATCCACCGCTCGCCCATGTGTGAGTACATGATCAACTTCATCCACAAGCTCAAGCACCTGCCGGAGAAGTACATGATGAACAGCGTGCTGGAGAACTTCACCATCCTGCAGGTGGGCGGGGGCGGGGAGGCCGGCCATGGCCCAGGGGAAGAGGCCCCTCAGCCCACCCCCCGGGCCTGGCCTGACCTCCCCAATCCCCCCTCCCTCTGCCCGCCCAGGTGGTCACCAGCCGCGACTCCCAGGAGACCCTGCTCGTCATCGCTTTCGTCTTCGAAGTCTCCACCAGCGAGCACGGGGCCCAGCACCACGTCTACAAGCTCGTCAAAGACTAGGGCGCCCTCTGCCCCGCCACCAGCACCCAGGATGCGCCTCACACACCTGCCTGGCGCCCGGGTCCAGGACTGAGGCTCCATCGCCTGCCAGGCCTCGGCCCGGGCCAGGAGGCCCCCACCACACCAGCACACACCCGCCACCCATCTGCGCTTTAGCTGTGGGAGAGGGAGGGGTCGGCGGTGGGGCAGCCGGCCTGGGTCGCCAAGCCACCATCACTTAGGTCCGCCAGCCCCAGCGGGAGGACACCTCTGGCTCAGGAGTGTGGCCGCTGGCCCCTCGGAGCGGGGGCGGGGGCGGGGGCGGGAGGCGGGAGGCGGGGCGGAGTGCGCAGGCCAGGAAGGAGTGTGGAGCTGGGTTGCTGAGAGGAGAGAGGAGAGAGGCCCACACTGTCTGCACCTGCCACGTGCCAGGCCCCTGCGTGCCTCCTGCACCCTCTGACCCGCAAAGCAAGCGTGGGTCACAGATGAGGAGTGGGGGGGATGGGGGGCAGAGATGGAGTTCTCACTAGGGCTGCCTGTCCCAAGCCCAGTTTACACGCCTCCCTGCCTGGGACCGGCCCCAGACTGGAGGGACACTACACTGAGGGGCTGGGTGGGGGTCCCCGACACGGGAGCAGCTGCCTCTGACCAGCAGGGAGGGGAGCAGCAGTACTCGGCACCCGCTGTCAGCCCCCCATCCAGCCAGGGCCCGGGAGGGAGCCCCGCCCCCCCACCCCCCCCCCAGCGGCCCTGGCCCGATCCTCGCCAAGCTCCCCCGCAGCCACCTCGTGGGGGAGGCCCCAGGGCAGGTCCTGGCTCCAGACGGGTCAGGCTGGGAGGTGGAGCCCAGCCTCTGGGCAGACCTGGCCCGGGCACGCGAGGCAGCGCGGGCTCTGGCATTTCCTCTTGCCCAAGTGACCCCTCGGCGGTGCCACCACCTGTCTCCCGTGCCAGTCTCCCCGCCGGAGCAGCGCCCAGTCCTCGCTCTGGGCCGAAGGTTAACCCTGCCACTGCCTCTTCCCCACGCCCGGCCCTCAGCGCCCGGCCTCCGGGCATCCATGAGTTTCATATGAAGTACTGTGCCCTCCCCTCCCCTGCCGCCCGCCCGCCCCTGAGCTTCCCGAAGGTTCTCACCGTTTGCATATCGCTCAGGCCACCTCCAAACCCGACCTAGGTTTTGTAATGTATATTATATATATTTTTGTGTACTTTTTAAATCCAGCTGTGATGGGTTGTATCATAAATGTGGTTGTATCAAAAGTAGGGCTGGGGCAGGCGCCTCAGGGCCTACTCAGAAAGAGAAATTAAAGTTATTTGTTTGTGGGTCCGTCGTGTGGCCAGTCGTGTGCAGGCCTCTGGGCTGGAACAGCTTCAGGGGGGCTCTCCCCGGTTAGGTCCTGGTGTGTCACCTTCCCCCGTCTTTTCTGGGGGCCCCCAAGCTATACCCACAGCCAAATAGGTGTGATTCTGGGGTCCCAGAAAGCTTTCCAGCTCAGACCTTTCTCCACACCCCTGCTGCCGGGTGTGGAGAACTGAGCCCAGCACTGCCCTGAGCGAGCGCGCGCAAGCGCGCTCTCTCCCTCTCTCTCTCTCTGTTTTTCTCTTTCTCTCACACACACACACAAACAGAAAAAAAATTTATTTTGTCTTATGATCCTAGACAAAATAAATTCAAGCTAGAGACTGCCTATGGCACTTTTCTACTTCCGGGGACCAGTTTTTACTATTATTTATTTATTATTATTATTATTATTATTATTATTATTATTACTGAGTTTTAGAAATATAGGAAGGGAGAGAGAGAGACATCGATGTGAAAGTGAAATGGATGTGAGAGCTTTGTCTCTAAGTGAAGTGACTTGCCCAAGGTCAGCACCTGCTGAGAGGGGCCACCTGCTAAATGCCCACCACCCTCACAGTGTCTGCTGCTGTCCGTGCCGTCCTGCCTCATTTTATTCCCGAGGAAAGAGCCTAAGGCGGTGAGTGCTCTCTGCAGTGGACAGCTGCCAGCGGGGCAGGCCAGACCAGGCTGCTCCCATCCACCAGGCTGCTCCTGTCCGCCGGGCTGCTCCTGCCTGCCAGGCTGCTCCTGTCTGCCGGGCTGCTCCTGTCCGCCGGGCTGCTCCTGCCCGCCAGGCTGCTCCTGTCCGCCGGGCTGCTCCTGCCTGCCAGGCTGCTCCTGTCCGCAGGGCTGCTCCTGCCCGCCTGGGGAAGCACACAGCAGGGATGCCGAGTGGCGGGGGAGGCCCTCCCTCAATGAGCATGCATTGTTTATCTGAAATTCAGATTTACTGGGTGTCCTGCATTTTCTTTTGGATTTTTTAAAATTGATTTTACAGAGAGGAAGGGAGAGAGAGAAGATCAGTGAGAGAGAAACATCAATCAGCCGCCTTCTGCACACCTCCTACTGGAAATGTGCCCGCAACCAAGGTACATGCTCCTGACCGGAATCGAACTCGGAACCCTTCAGTCCGAGGGGGGAAGCTCTATCCACTGAGCCAAACCGGTTAGGGCAGCATCCTGTATTTTCAGTTGCTAAATCTGCCAACCCTACTCCAGAATCCAGGGTCTTCTAGATCATTCTGGTCCAAGCTCCAACTTTGCAGATGGGAAGCAGACTGAGGTTCCTCTCCTCACTCAGTCAGTGGCAACAGCAGGATGTGGACTGCTCCGCCTGACCAGGCCCCCCCGCACCTGGTTACTGCTTAAATGATCAGGCGGCCTTTGTCTTGGTCCCATCGGAGGGACTTCGCTGTCACTAGTAAAACGGGGAGGGCATCTGCCAGTTGGGAGGAGCTTCTGGAGGCAGAGATTGGTTTATGAAGGACCCTGGGGCTGGATGAAAAATTAATCTCTGCACTATTAAGTAATGACATCGCCCTGGCCAGGGTTTGCTCAGTGGTTAGAGCAGGGGTCTTCAAACTTCTCTCATTATGAGAATCACCTGGTGGAGTTGTTAAAACACAGATTCCCGGATCCCAACTATAAGAAGTGCTATCAGGAATCTGTGTTTTAACACCTCCACCAGGTGATTCTCATAATGAGAGAAGTTTGAAGACCCCTGCTCTAGATCAATGGAAAAAATATACTCCTCGAGTATAAAAGTGATGGCACCTGTGGAGTGCTTGAAGTGTCATCACATGGGTTGTTGCCTTCACTACTCTCCTGGGGCAATCGGCCTTCGGGGAACTTCTTTAAGAATATGTAGGTCTCACGCAGAAAACTCAAGGAATGAAACTGACTAGCTTCCTTGCTTGCTTGCTTTACTGCCTGCCCCAGCCACAGGTGTAACACGAAGTGGGTGATGACTCACTTTGAGGTTACAGAGCAGGGAGGAACCAGGATAAGGTGGCTATCGCCCATAGCTCAGTCGGTGGGAGCGTTGTCCTGACAGGCCAGGGTTGTGGGCTCCATCCCATACAGGAAGCAACCAATGAATGCATAAGTGGAACAACAAATCGATGTTTTTTCCCCCTCCATTTCTCTCTCAATTCAACAAATAAAAGTTACATACACGCGCGCGCGCACACACACACACACGCACACACACACACATGAATGCAGGTCTTGGGAGCCCACAGCCCAGGCTCTGGCAGTGGCCGCCTGTCGGGGTCTGTGGGAAGCTGTACAGAAAGGTCCACAAAGCTGGAGCCCAAAGGGGCCAGTAGTTCTATCTTTCCTGCCCCTGTTTCTGTTCTGATGTTTCTGGGGGAAACACAGTCAAAGCCAGAGCACTGTGCTGGGGTTCACGAGGGCTCATTTCCCTGCACACAGCTGCTGGGGAACTAGGGCTCCCAGGTGTCTGAGCCGGAATTGTAACTCAGGGGCACACTGAGCTTTGCACTAATCATTCTGGAGGCTGGGATTTGATGAAATAGCTCAACCCTCATTTACAATAGACGCCCCCTGCCCCTCTCCCCGCCCCCCAGATGCTGTGGGCCTCTTGAGAGCAGCATTGGGTCTCTAAACAGATTCCAGAGGCCAGCTGAAGGTGGTGTGTGTCTAGTGTAGAGTTGGGTTTTAAGGACAAAGCGGAGTAGATTTGACTTAAATTCGGATCAATGTTCAGATCAATGCAGGAAGATTCAACTTCCCACGTAGTTCTAAAACATACCTGTTCACTTGCCTTAGAGTTTCCAAAACGTCTTAAGGATGTTATTCCTTGGCTCATTTCAGACAGGAGTGATGGATTCTTCTCCCCACTCAGCACAGATCTCCTCCACTCAGTCTGCCCTAAACCAGCTGGCACTGTGCACCAGGTCCAGTACATTTATGCACGTGGTTACACAGAAATGCCATTCTACCGGTGCTCCTTATTTATTTCTTTAAATATGGAACGCTTTCACGAATTTGTGTCATCCTTGAGCAGGGGCCATGCTAATCTTTGTATCGTTCCAATTTTTTTTTTTTTTTTTTAAATTTTAGTATACATGCTGCCGAAGAGAGCACTGCTAGTGCTCCTTTTAATTAAGTGCTAAGTGCCTGGCACTGTGCAAAGCACTTAATGCTTTTAAGCTGGTACGACTCTCTCAGGTGGGCACCGTCATCACCTGCACTTCCAAGCAGCAAGTTTGAGACTCCGCAGGCTCCCCTGGCTCCCAGGCAGCAGGGGACCTCTGGCCCCACAGGCAATTACATGGCCGTCTTGCATCCAATAAATGGAGTATGTCTGAGGTCATGAGAAACCTCCGAAACCTTGGCTCACGATGCTCTCAACAGGACCACTGCGAGTGCAGATGTCTTTCCGGTCTTGGACTCAGGTGGATTGCACTGGGTGCCCACCAGGGCCCTCAGGTGTGGCCACCACAGGTGCAGCTGGAGCCGCCTGTTTGCTTTGTGCCTTTTCCTCTTGGCTCCATTTCCTCTTCATTGCACCCAGTGCCCAGTAAGCTTTGTGGCAGAGGCAAGGCATCCTGTATAATGAAAGCGTAGCATGAAAATTGTCTCAACAGGGAGTTCAGCCAGGGACCAGGGCTGGTCTGGGGAAGGCAGGCAGTACAAGGCCAGCAGCCGGCAGCTGCTAGGGACCCTACCAGTGCGTGAATTTCGTGCACTGGGCCTCTAGTAAAGTATATTCTCACTTGTAAGTTACTTTATTACATCCCTCCAGTCACTAAGTCATCACAATTTTTTTCCGCCCTATTTTCTTATTTTTTAAGGAAGATGGATAGAAACAATGAGAAACATCAATGGGCTCTTTAATGCCCCCTACTGGGATTGAGCCCACAACATAGACATGTGCCCTGTTCAATCCAGTGACTCTTGGTACACGGATCCATACTCAACCAAGCCATACCTGCCGCCAAGCTGCCTTTTTTTTTTTTTTATTACAGAAATTCCCCCAAACCATTTAACTCTGAGTTAAAGTCAATTTTATGTAAGCTTCCAATGATTTTTACTATGCATGAACACTTCAATAAAATTTGGTCCTAATTTTAAAGCCAGCTTTTTCCCTCCAAAGGTAAGGGAACATTGCTAAACAAGCATATTTTATCACCCCTAATACAATAGACCACAAATTTAAAAGCTAAAACAGCAAACTACTCCAGGTCTATATTGACAGCCTTGTACACGGGGCAGTTCCAGGCCAGGTAAACCTTGTTTTGAGAAGGTGCATTTTATCTATGCTTCCCATTAGCCTTCCAGCTCTATTAAACTGTTGAGACGCCCAGCCAGTGTTGCTCCCGGCTATGGTTTGACCTGCCTAAGCTGCTGGCTCAATCCCCCAAAGCGGGCCAGCAGGAGGCAGCCCATTGGTTTCTCACCTCTCCCTCCCTTCTCTGAAATAAAAACTGGTGGGATGAGCCCTGGCCAGTTTGTCTCCACTGAAGGGTCCCAGGTTTAATCCATCAGGGGACATGCAGGAGTTAGCTGATCAATGATTCCCATAATTGATAGCTCTCCCTCAATCTGAAATCAATAAAAATACATTAAAAAGAAACTGGTAGGATGAGCTGATCCCTTTATTTACCAAAGTTAAATGATTCAAGTGAAGGATCCAATCACGGGTACTTCCCAAAATACCAAGCCACTGGCACTGGCACCAATAGCAAGGGAAAGGGGTAGGGTAGGGCCTGGATCCTACCCATTTTGCAGGCAAATTTGAAAAAGCAAAAATGCTGCACCACAGTTAAAGCCATTTGATTAAGGCTAACGGGGGATCATCTGATAAATTTGTGTAATGGGGAGAAGCTTGCTTTCAACAAATCGTTTCTTGAACAAATTAGACCAAAATTGTCTGGGTTTGTGGATTAGTCCCATCACAGTACACCTAGGAACTCAGTCTCCATTTGTCACAGCCGAGATCCTATGGACCAAGACCCCAA